ACTACTACTAATATTATATCATATGGCCACCCATCTCACAAGAAGCACCTCTGGGTGGCGTACAACAATCAATAAAAACAACAAATACATAAAAAATCATTATAAAACTTAAAAGTCATTATTAAAAATGGGAAAAAAACTATAAAAATTTAAAATATACAAACCACATGGAGAGAGTACAAGATCAACCACAATGGAGCCATCTAAGAATCTCTCTGGTTCTCTGGGACCCCCAGGCCTGGTGACATAACCAGGTCTTGAGGGACTTCCCAAATGATAACCTGGAGTTAACCTGACTGCGGGGGTGGGGGGGAGAATGTTCTATTATAATGCCACCTGTTGATAAATTCCTTCCATCGTTGTTATTCCTGTCTCAAAGGTCGCAGCCCTAAAGTATATCAATTCGCAACTGTATCTGTAATCCCAGTAATCATAGTTAGCAAAGAAATGGTCCCAATTCCTAGTAGCTAAACCAGAATACTTCTCCTCTCACAAAAGAATCTCCCTACTAAGCCAATGAAAAAACATATCTCTAGGGATCAGCTAAAAGCAGATCAGAAAGGAGCCATAACTCCACCTTTCAGCATATACACCGCCCAGAGTCGCTTTGTGTGAGATGGGCGGCTATATAAATGTGACATATAACTAAATAAATAAATAAATAAATATACTTTACAGACAGTCAATTCCAGATTCAATCCTTAGCAATATAGAAGAAGATCAACATGGTCTACTGTGCCTGACAGTGGTTTCCTACCTCTGCTTTCAAAGATTCTTATGAACCCAGGACTTTGGTTTTTGGAATTCATTTTAGGTGGTAATCTGGATGTGCCTCAGAATCAGGCTTCCCTGACTTTTAAGTTGTCTATTGTTTAATTTTATTTAATTAGTTATATATTTTAAGTAAATTTTATAGGGTCTAGTTTATCTATTCTTTTTATTGTAAAGTGGCTACCTATTAGTATTCTATTACTTCCTTAGAATTAGAAGTGCCTAGGTTTTGATGTGTCTACTTTGTATTTTTATATTGACATTCCTTTATTTCTGTGCCACACTTAGTTTTTAAGCATGATATAAATTATGTTAATTACACAATATAATTATAAATTATATCAATTACATATTGTATTACTATATTCATAATTAATATAATTGATATTATATTATCATCATCTCTAGAGCTACTTTAGCCAGAAGGATGGTATTTATTTTCCCTTTCGAAATATCTGAAAGCACCATGTTTTTACTTAAACACCTAGAAGTATGCCAAAGGAAGTTCAGTTGAATGCTAGAAAGGTACATAGTACCAATTTAGATATATATTTAACAAATTACTTGCTAAAGACCTCCCAAAATCTCGAGATTATGGCAGTATAGAAACAGTTGTAATAAATAAATGGCCATCCTACCGTTGTATGGATGCACTATCCCATCTATAACCTTGACTGTATCGTCTTGCTGTAACTGTAAAGACACATCCCCAACTGCATCTACTAGCTCAGTGAAAAAATCTGCAATCTCTGGTGAGTCTTGCAGGAACACGTAACGGTCTTGTCGATTACTGAAGTAAGAGTCACTTAAGTTGGCCCTGGAGAGGGAAAAAGAGGGTGGCAGCTAAGAATGCCAAATGATCATATATGAATCAACTTCAAGTAACATACATCTGACAGAGCTGAGAAATGCAGCATAGACAGAAATGTATGTAAGATTAATCAACACCTGTAGACTAATATTGCCTTCCTGATCCACTTCCCCATTCCAACTTTTGTTAAATGCAAATGAATTGTAGGATGCTTGTTCAGAAGCAATTAAGAGTAGCAACTGTTCAAAAATGGCAAAGTGCAGAGCAGAGCTATGACACACTGATTCCAGAATATGCAGAACAATCCATAATATGATCTAGCTTAGTTGATTTCCTTCTTTCTTTCTTCTTTACTGGAAATCACAGAATTCCTCCATGTGCCCCAAAGCTATTTTCTTATAAAGAGGAACTCACCCACTCAAGATCACATTATCATCAAAGAGATAGACTTTGATATGCTGCAACCCGATGGTCTCATTAAAACGCTCAGGAATTAGGTGTCTGAGAAGACCACGTAGATTAGGAGTGTGGAAGAGAGAGACACGGACCTTATCTGGAAATCGCCTCAGGAGTGGAAGCAGCATGGTTCGAGAATTCTTCTGGCCTAGGAAAAAAGAAACAGACTTGATGAGACCATAGTAATATAGAATATCTGCTCCAATTTACTGTAAGAATTAGAAAGCCTTAACAATCAGATCTGGAAACTTTTATGTATAGAATATCTAAATAGGTCCAATTGTTCATCAGTTGCAGAGTGACAAAAATTGATGATTCTCCTCTGTAGAAGCATATGTTAGAAGGCATTTTGTGACACCTCTAGTTGTTGCATTGATAACAAAGGAATCAAGTGGATAATGATTATATCAGACATATATGCTTTGCCTCATTTCCATCTCTGGTAACCAAGAATAGTAGTTGGGCTTATGGTGAAGTATCTTTCTGATCCCACAAAGATGGACCTAATAGGAAGAGATTAACTCCACCTCCTTTAGAGGCCAGGGCTTAAGACTTCTCTATGTCTTCTGGAGGAAACTGTCTGCCTTCAACTGCATGTTCTGACTCCTCCTTTATTGTATATTTCACATAACAACAAAAACTTGCATCATGGGAACAGAACAACAATGTATAACAGTTAAACACAGTATAGTAAAATATGGAGAACTGAAATTTGAACTCAGATCAAAGTAATTAGATAATAATGTGCTTTCTTATATTAATTTAGAATTCAGTGTCTTTAGTGTACCTTTCATGTAGCACATTTTGCAAATGAAATTTGCTTTACTAGGACAGTTGTGCCTGCTAGTGACTGTCTGACCAGAGAGTTCATGCCTTTCGCCTAGGTAACAGTTCTTGCGTATTTCCATCAAGGTCATCTTCGTTACTATCTACAAGTAGCCTACATTTCTGGAAGCAGTCAGCAACACGATGTCAGACACTAACCTGTTGCTTTGACAAATTACAGGTCTCTGCATGGAAAACTTGAGTCAGGAACTTTTTGTCTTCTGGGAACTGCTCAAAGTGAGAATTTACTTTCTTTCTCAGGAAATATTGGTGGCAAGTCATGCAAGAGGAATAGAAGTATCTCTTTGAACAAAATCAAAGAGTGGGTCATCAACAAGAGTGCTGGTTGTTTAGTTGTGAGGTCAAGATCTTTAATTATTCACAGTAGCTGCTCCACTTAAGGGCAGAATCTTTGGAGTGGGAAAAAGGGCACTGGTCTCTGACCACTGGTCTGGTAAGGCAAAGATGCACCAGTAAGAAGGAGTCAGAAGTCTGCATGGATCTGAATCCAGATCTGAACAGGAAATATGAGAATTAGCTAGCAATGTTGAAAAAGTAGAGGCACTAAGGGTCTAGTGGTGGCACAAGGCCTAAAGTGGATGAAATATGAATAAAGAACTAGTAAGAAAAGTTGGAGGTTTTACCAAGTCCAAGAAAGCAAAATGCATTGTTGGAACCAAAGACAAATTAATGAGAAAAGGAAATGGTTCAGTGCCTCTGGAAATGGCCAGCATCAGACATGCTGTGTAGATGGGTCTCAGTGGGTGGCCATGAAACAAACAAAACTAAAAGAAGATTTCAAAGGAGGAAATAAAAACATCATTGAAAAGAAAGTATATAGATTTTGATATGTTCTGGATTTGTTTTGTTTTGTATTAGGAAACTAATACAATACAGAAAAGAAACTAAACAATACAGAAAATATTTCTGATTATGTCAGGCAGTAAAAGAGGAACTGAGGAAAACCAGCAGGCAAATAATACATAAGTGGGAGAAGATAAGGCTTCTATTAATTCAGGACAGCTGGGGAATGCTCCAAAAGACTTAATCTGACAGATACAGACCCCTTGGTAGGATGCAGAGACCAAGAAAATTAACCCTATTCTTCACAATTCAACGTAATAGGAAGAACTGGAAAGCCAAGATTTACTATTGACTGAGTCAAAACAGTGTATCAGGAATATTTTGTCTAGGTTTTAAATTGAAAGAATCTCTGTGATTTTTTTTATTCTTGATTGCAGAGATATAAAGACAGAACTGGCTTGAAATCTACAGGAGAACTGAAGTTGGTTTTTGAGCATTGATTTCAAACAAAGGTCCAAATCCTTTGATCTGCAGAATTATTTAAACCCAGGTCTTATATCAGAGATCCCAAACCATATCAGACTATCACAGCTAAGTGAAAAGAGGTGTCAGTGAATGCATACATACTTACCCCGGGATCCTCTTGTGAAGTCTAACAGGATAGACACTCTAAAATTGGGACTCCCACATCCCTTCAATGACCTTTCCAAAGCTATTTCAATACAATCCACCTAAAAGAAGAAAACACACAAATGCACGAGGCAGCCTTCCTTTCAAGTGTACTAAGTGATAGGAAGTGAGGTGTGCATAAAATAAACCAAATGTCAGATTGACAGAGAACTTCAATCTCCCAAGGGGGAAGTATCAGTGCTTTCCTAATTCGGAATTTGTTTCTCCTATCACAGACATATTAACAGTTTGCAAACAAATATAATAGACAAAAAAAAATCCAGAACACTTAATATAATTGTACTTTCAATAATATTTCTTCTCAAGATGTCTCAAAGTTTTCTATTGGTATAGAAAACCTGAAGTGTTATAGTATAGAACAATTATTCTCTTTGCAAACAAGGATGACAAAACACCGTGTGGATAAACCCTTTCCTCTTGCTCACATAAGCTGAACACAAGTCTATCTATGAGCCCAGTTTATAGATATGCCCTGTCACTAAGGGTACTGCCAGTATGAAGTAAAGAGAACCATGTGAATGAACCAAGGATTATTTCTAACAGCTCTAAATTCCAGTTTGTATACAGTTCTGTGAAAAAGTATGCACTCACTCTGGGAGTTTTTGAATTTTTGCCTATCTTTGCCACTACAAAGTATAAAAAGAGTGAGTAAATGAATACCAAAGCTGGTGCTTATTTCTTTCATTTCATAAACAAAATCACCCTTCATATAATCCATCCATGTGAAAAAATAGCCCCCCCTTCGATCAATTCAATTAAAGGACTAATTGTAGTACTTCACTGAACAATCAGGGCTGATCTGAGGCTGTTCCACCCTATATAACTTTGTATCTCATCATCACAGTGATATTCCCACTAAAGAACTTCTAGAGGCACATTATGCCCAGCTCAAAATAAATTTCCCAAAACCAGACCTCTGTAAAAGTAATTTCTCCCTATTAGACTAGAGAAAGTTACAAAACAATTTCTAAAGAATTGGGATTCCACCAATTCACAATCAGAGATATTGTCTTATAACTGAAAAGATTTGGGACAACAGTCAATCACCCCAATAGTGAATTGCTCCAAGAACACAGCATACATTTGTCTGGGAAACCAAAAGAACCCAAGAACAACCCAGGGATGTGCAGGTTTCTTTCACTTTGTTCATGACTATCATAAAAAAAAAAAACAACACTGGGGAAAATAGGGATTTATAGCCCAGTAGCAGGGTGGAAGGCATTCCTTAGCAAAAAGAACACTGATGCTCATCCCAAATTTGCCAAAAAGATCTGGATGACTCCCCACACTTCTGGAGGAATCTATAAAGAGGGATTTGGGGGGCTACATGAGTGATGTTATGTAACCAAACACTCAATACTATAATAATAACCTCATACCAACTGTCAAGTCATGGTTTGGGGATGCTTTGCTTTTTTAGAACCTGGACGAAGAAAATATGCATTCTGTTTTGTAACAATGGAGTCCACATGAAAATATCAAATCATCTGTCAGCTAACGCTGAAGTGCAAATGAACTATAAAGCGAAACAGTGATCCCAAATACACAACAAAATCTATAAGAGAATGGACAAAGAACAATATATTCAATGTTTTGGAATGGACTAATCAAAGTCTAAGGCCTAAATCCCATACAAATATTGTAGTAGGACCTGAAACAAGCAGTTCATGCTAGAAAACCCTCAAATGTTACTGAACTGAAGCATTTGCCATGGAGGAACAGGCTAACGTTTCTACACAGCAATGTGAGACCTGATAACTAATTACAAGAAGTTTCCAGTTGGAGTTATTGCAGCTAAAGGTGGTACAACAGCTACTGAATCTAAGGGGGCAATTACTGTTTCATATGTGGGATAACTTAATGAAATAAATGAAATAAGTATCAAATGTTGGTATTATTTGTTAACTCAGAAACTCATTGATACATAAGGATATATAACTTTACACCCATATAAATTTTGATAATAGTCAGTGGCAAAGATATCTAAAATGTCATAATATTCAAAAGGGGCAAATATTTTTTCATAATACTCTATCTTCATTTTTAGCCTGTCAAAATTAACAACTCATACATAAATACTGTATAACAGAGTGAATTCTGAAGCAAGCGCTCAAAAAAAAAAAAAACCCACCCTAAACCTAAGATATCTCTTTAACTAGATATTTTCTAAAAAATTTCCAGTCCCTCCTTCCCATTTTAGACACTTACTAAGTCCTGTTCCAAAGGTCCTGTTCCAAGATACAGGGAAGCTAAAACTATTCGTTGCTTAGCCATCTTTACTTGTCCCTGAAAGAGAAAGACATTTAGATTTGATCAGTCTCCCAAATGAAGCACCCAAGTACCTCCCACAGGACACCCAATACAGTACTTAATTTTATGAGAAGCAATAAAATTCAAATCTACCTGGAAAACTATTATTAGGAACTTTTGCTCACAATTGGACTGGGAATAAGTTAGTTGGCTGCAAGTGACTCTCTTGCAGCCGAGGGTGAAGAGGGTTAAACTAGAAGGTCAAAATAGAGACAAGCCAAGTCACTGCTAATACTCCAGCTGCTACGGGAGAGGGTGATTCACCTTCATCACTTTTAATTATATGCAAAATTAAAGTTTTTCTATTCATACTAATATTTGTTCTCTCCCAAAGGAGAGAAAAAGTTTGAAAGTAATTAAGATACCAAATTAGATACAATCATTCACATAAAAGAATTACATTAAAAGTCCTACTATGTTAAGAAACTGCCTTTCAGACTTCTGGGGGAGTAACAGCGGATTGAAGATGGCTCCATTTCCGCGGAGTTGATGTCTGCAGCAGTTAAGAGAAGCCGGCAAAAAGTCCAGCTCTTCAGAACCATCTCCGGACAAAGGAGATGACTGGATCACCCACAAGTACTCCTTACAGAGGCTCCCTGTGAAGAGATCACAAATTTAGCAATCTCCAGAGAGTTGAGCACTCTGGGAGTCACAGGAAATATCAAGTCCAAGCTGCAGTTCAGAGCCTCTAAAGAGACACTAGATTTGCTTTTACTTCCTCTTTTAATTAACATCAGAAAATACTTATTAGCGATTTACTTGAAAATTAAAAACCTTCTGAAAGGCAAGTTGCTGTACACTGGGATAATTTCCTTCTATCCTGGAAGAAAGAAGATTTAAGTAAGTTTAAAGATTAAAAAGAAAATTTTTAACTTTTGGAAAACAGTGAAAGGGAATTAAGAATGTTGGCTGTGGACAGTTAAGGGGCCAGATGGATTTGAAAGAATAGTTTTTTTTATAGACTCTTTTAAATTTTATAAAATGTTATAAAAATGTTGGAATTAACTGTAAGAAAACTTATTGTGGGAAAGTTTTGGCTCTGAAAATAAGATAAGACTGGACATTGAAAGTTAACTAGAGGGAACCAGAGAGCAATTAAAGGAAAATATACGGTAATACCTCGGTTCACGAACGCTTCTGTTCACGAACAATTTGGTTCACGAAGAGCACCGTTCGCAAAATTTTGCTTCCGTCCACGAACTCCACATCGGGTGATGAACATGACCCGCGGCCATTTTCCCTGCTGTGACATGTGGTCGTGGCTTCCTGTAGGGAGGGGGACT